ATAAAGCATTCCAGAGCAGGAATAATTAGGAATAATGCAAAATAATTAAAGAAACGCCTGCAATCGGGAGCAGGAACTTACAAACATGGGCCCGGTGGGCACGTGATCCACTTCCACGTAGGGGTTTTTGTAGAGCCACATCTCCTCGGGCTGCACGACCCGCTCGAACGGAGGCAGAAACTCCATGATCCTGCAGAGGGGGAAAAGGAGGAGAGGTTGAGGGCGGGCGGCCGGGCGCTGTGGCGGGTCCCGGCGATCCCGGGAGGCCGGGATGAGCGGCGGAGACCACGGCACTCACAGCACGGCAGCGAGGAGCAGCCCGCGCACGGCGGCCTCGGCCAGCAGCTCCGCGGCGCCCATGGCCCCGGCGGCTCCGGCTCCGCGCGCTCAATTCCGGGCGGCACCAGGAAGCGGCCGCCGGAGCGCTCCCTGCAGCGCTCCCGGGAAAAGCAGGACAAAAGGCGCCGGCGCCCGTTGCAACATTCAGAACGATTTATTGAAGTCGACCTCAAGCAAAATTTCCAATCAGTGGAATGTCGGTAAAAACCTTCCCAAATTAATCCTCACGGAAGCAAAAACCACGTCGGGATTCCAAAGTATTCGTAAAATAAAAAAAGGCAACATCTCAGTAAATGTAATGTACAAAAATTATAGGTTCCTACCATCACACACATTCAGTAAGAAGCTAAAATATTACAGGCAATTTCTACGCGCTACCTCTAGCCGACGATAAGCTACCTATATACAGGTTAACCAAGCTTTACAGGGGTCACACTATGCAAGAGAACAGAGGCCAAACAACAAAACCCCCAAAATATTTTATATCTCCAAGTCTATGCGGCAACATCAAGTCATAATACAGTAATGCCCCCGTGGACCGCGGCCAGGGAAACTTAACACTCCTCTTGGTGTCAAGGGCTTCTCGGCAACCTCCCCGACCTCTTTATTAAAGATATTGACTTCAGTGAATATCGATGCTTCGCTAGTAAAGACTCGAGTGATTTTGGTAAAATAACATTTCACAGAATCTACAAAGTTTCTTACAGATAAACAAAGTCTACAGAAAGAACGACTCTACAAAGGGCTTGGGGACGGGGAAGGATTACATGGAAATGGAAACAGGATCCGCAGGTATCCGTGTTGTGCAATATCAGCCGCGTGGAAACAAAGGGGCTCGCTCCTCGCGGCGACCCCGGGACGCACCCCCTTAGAGAGAACAAAATAATCTTCTTATTAGCCAGCTCCAACAGTTCCTTGCCTTGTTTTCTGTGGCACCGTGATCGGTTTCAAATGGAAAAACAAAAATAACAACACGAGAAACGAGATACAGTTCGAGCCGTGGAAACGCTTTGTTTTTGCGTCCAGTCTGTTCCTCAAAGGACCGGGAATTCGCTGGGAAGCTCCGTGCCGCGGGAACGGGCCGCTTTGCTCATCCCGGACGCGGAGCGAGCCCGGAGCGCGCGCCGCGCCTCCCGTTTCATCCGTGTCCCCGGGAATCGCGGCCGTGTCCCGGGCATGAAGTGGATGCATCTTCGCGGGCGCCCTCTCGGCAGCAGCAAGGACCCCAATTTGCCACTCGGGCGCAGGAGACGAGAGGAAAGGGCGACGTTTCCCGGCGCGCCGTTCTCCCCGCATCCCCCGTTCTGGAGTGTGCGGCCAAAGTGCAAACGTTTCTGCTACACGAAAATCAACGGCAGGGTAAAGCGGATGGGAAACGCTCGGGACACGGGATCGGCAGCGCTCGTGCAGGACGCTTCTTCACCACAGACGTCGGAGCCGTCTGCTCTGCAAATCTAGCCCGCGCGCCCCACKCTGGGGAGCCTAAAGTAACGCCGGGAAAGACATCTCGCATGGAGCACACAAAAAAATACCATGTATAAATAAAAAGCTGTATAGGGAACCGCAGAGCTTCAAGTACATTAAACCCTGAATTCAATGAGGCAGAGGTTTCAATGTTAAAGTGACGACTTCGTACCAGCGCTGGACGCCCCCCTCTTCCCACCCTCCTCCCCAACCCGACCCAAATAATTCTGTAAAGGTTCAATATATACAGATTTTAGGCTGTTAATTAGGCCTAGCAATTGCGTCTTTCCTGTTCTAGCCAGAAATGAAGAGAGGATTAATTTGCAGCCGGAATGAAGCATTCCGGCCCTATCGCTTGCTTTGATGCGTTCTCGGAGACCACGGCGGTGAGCAGAGAAGGGAATTTGCCCACAAAAATCACCTTTGATGGCCCTTGTCCTGAGCTGCCAATGCCTTTAAGTCTCACAGTCTCTTGCTAAGACAAGTCTACGCTAATAAGTCAAAAGCTGCAATTATTCTTGCGCCGCGTGTCCAGGAAAACGCAGGGATTGCTCGTGGCTGGCGGAGCAAGGAGCACGGCAAAAGCTCCAGGGAAAGCGCACAGTCCTGGGAACGGCACGGAGCAGCTCAGCTTATTGCATTACTATATAGCRCACAGGCTCCAGATCCAGGGGCGGGTGCTCTCCGGGAGCAGGATCCTACAGATACAGCCCCAAACTGCCCAATATTAGTCTTTATCTCACGTGAGAGGCTACAAAGTTAAYTCAGCAGCTGCTCTCCCCTCTCCGCTGCTGCTAGCTAATCTAAAAGCCCCCGTTAAACCTTTCCCTTAAGACAGAAATAGCATTTTTGAGCCATTCTGCTTATAAAGACGCACTTAAAATGTGTATTTTAACGTTTTGTGCTGGGCATACAGAGCAAACCCATCTCCAGCCTTTGAATTAGACGTTTTCTTAGCTCAGAAAGTTTAAATCTCTGGAAAGATTGATCTTCTCCCCACCAGTGTGAAAAAGCCCAAACCTCCCCTTTTCCCTTATAAGCCCAAGCTCACGTGTTGGCTGCTCTAATTTAACATTTCTTAAATAAAAGGAGCACCTGGGAGAAGCTTGAAAACCAAGTTAACCTAAATATCAAACAGGCTTTGTCAATCTTAGCAGCTGGCAAGTTTTTAAGCCTCCTGTGAAATGCTATATAGTATTGCAATACGCTGCATGCTCCGGTTTTCCAAGAGAAAAGTCGTTCTGAACATTCCCAAGCCTCATGCAAATCCAAAGGAAACGGCCCAGACCTTGCAGACGCTGTAGGCGAGTTTGGAATTTTTATCTAAAGAGGTTCAACACCCTCCGTAAGAGCTTAAAAACAAACATTTATCACACCAAAAAATGCTAGGAAAAATAAAATCCTTTTTCGTAATTTTTTTTTTTGTAAAAAATACCAAAATATAGCATTGCTCTCAAGCAAGATTAGTGTTTTAGATATTCACTTTAGTATCGACCAGAGGATGAAGTGCTCTGTGTATCCCATTAGCCCTCCGTGCCAGCAAGTGACCCCAGGAGACACCGACTTGGCCCCCCAAGATACCCAATGTCATCGAGAGGCATCTGCAAACTCTGCAAGACAAACTGCCCCCTCGGTTAAAATGGGGCAGCGGCTGCTTGGGGAGACTGTAGTGGATTTTTCACCTTCAAAAATTGCACATAAAACCCAATGTTTGTTCCCTAGTAGCTGAATTCGAGAACGAAAAGGGCCCCAAGGCAAAGGAGGAGATTCACCAGGGACTAAGTTCCCTTGGGGGACACTTACCCTCCTAGGCCCTTTGCCCTGAATGGATGGAGGAGGAGAGGTTTTTCCAAGGAAAACGGGGAGTGGGTGCCCACCTGTGTCACCTCCAAACTCTTTCTCTGGCTCTCTTCCGACTGCCAAGGAAAGCCAAGAGGGATTCACCTCGCGAGGCTGGAGCTGCTYGCTGTGAATACACCCCAGGATGCAGGTACGGAAAATACCCTGTTCGTCAAACAAGTGCTCTTGGGAAAATAACTGGCTTTCCTTAAATCCATTAATAATGGAAACTAAAGTGAGAAGACTTGTCTCCCTCCGTAAAAACAACCCTAAATATTCCATCAAAGCCCACGTGCACGCAGGTCAGATTCCTCGAGCACTCCAACTCCCTTTGAAGCTAACGAGCGAAGGTAATAACGAATCACACCGATGGAACTGCCATCAAACAAGCGCAGACTTGGCAGATGACAAATACACAGAGCAATCCTGCATCCAGGGAAGTCAGCGACGGTGCTTCCACCTGCAGGGCGGAGACTCCGGCCGCCAGGAATGTGCTGAGGCTGGAAAGGCCTCGGAACCAGGCAGGAAATTCCAGGTTGGCTGGGGCAGAGAAGTAAACAATGGGCATCAGCTCTTCCCAGATTTCCTCCTGGCTGAAAACAGCCCTGTTACAGCTCTCAAGCAAGGAACCGGGATTTCTTTTAGAAAGCGCTAAATCTCGTGCCGCAAACACTTCCAGGAAGCCATACACCTGATTTCTCCTGGGGAAAGCTTTGCAATAATATTCCTAAGTTAACATGATACAGAGCCTACCTTCTCCAAATGCCTTTAAGAGATAAGTTCTGGAATGGAGGAATTTCACTGTCACCTGGTCTGAAGCCCACCTCTGTCTTTATGGCAGCTGAATGTCACACACAGCGGGAAGACTGATTCTCCTCCCATAAACTAGACATAAAAATTATGTTGGCTTTGCTATTTCGTTTAAAGACACRCTGACTGATCAAAACCAAATCCTTTAAAAATTAAATAAATAAATATGTTGCTATGCTTTGCTTTCTACACTCAGAGAACATACTTTAAACAGAATATTCTTCTCACTGTCAAAAAGGTCTACTTTGTTTCCTTAAGAAGGCCAAGATGTTCCTGTTTTCCAACAGTAAGAGCTGCTGTAGCACATTCAAGGGTAAAAGAAAGATCAAACAATAAAAAAAAAAACAAACATCACTGCCTGCTTCTGCTGGCTGAGATTAAATGGTCCCATTCCCAGTTCAAACAAGGCGGCCCTGCTGATGAGGACTGAACAGCAGCAGTCGCTTTGAGTTCATCACCTCCTCGCCCCTCTTCTCCCTYCCTTTCAAGCAAATTCACTCCTTTGCTTCTTCCGCGGGATTCTGTGATTCCAATTTGCACTTGATCTTGTTCCAGTATTCGGGTGCCACGGGAGATTTGGGGTCATGTGTGGAGCAGCAGAGACGGCCATCCAATGCCGAGGCCACCAAGGCTCCCTTCTCGTGATCTTTACAGAAGGAATGAGGGCAAAACTCACAGAATGAGACTGCGGGATTGCTACAGATGTCACACTGGTGCCACGGGCATTCCCACTTTCCTGAASAAAGAAGGAGAGAGCCAGGAAGCTTGCGATTAGTAGACTGACAGTGGCCTTTAATCCTTATTCCACTCAGCAATTGTTCAGAAAAACGCAAACAAAACCCCCCAAAAATCAGGACAGCAGCTAAATCCGTGTCTCCCTCATAAGAATCTGCCTYCAAACAAGTGATATGAGAAAGACAGACTATGTTTAAAATAAATGGATACTGCAGCTCAGCTCAGAGACGTGAAACCAGATGAATGCTCTTACCAAAAGGTGGCTGTGTCAAGTTAAGGCATAGGAGGTGGTATGCTTTGGGACAGTCCTTTTTATCACACATGACCAGTTCTCCCCCATCTCCACATTGGAAACAGTTGTCTTCATGCATTTGCTTCTGTTCCGTTTTGATTTTCCGTTTCTTCTGCTTCAATTTGGCATTCTTCACCTTTTCCTCGTTTGCTGTTGCAAATGCTGTCTAGCAAATCACAAACACAACCCACAGTTACTTCATAAAGTCCATGCACTGAAATGAACTGAATCACTTTGGGGTTATTTGCATGACTTTTGCTCCAATTAAATCTGCTCGAGAAAGTTTAAGCCACTCAAGTCATCCACACAGATATAAACTGATAATCTGGTAATTTTATGGTATTATCCAGAGAGTGCTCTGCAGCAATGGGAGGTTTATTTGCTCGTTCACTTTCTTTCCCAAACACCAGGATTTGTGTCACTGCTGTCCCCTGCAAGGGAGGATACACCACAAAGGCAGACTGACAGCGGGGCAACTTTTAAGGAATAAAAGCAACTTTTTTGGAATGAAATTCTGCAAAAATTCCCTTTTCCTGCACGTACCTTTGGGCGCACRCCTAGAAAGCCACTGCAGTTCTCTGCTCCACAGTGGCATTCAGTCCTACCATTGCCGAGGCAATCCAAATTGTAGTTAAATGTTAACTCCATTCCTAAAACGCAAAGAAAACCAATTCATCCACCCAGWTCCACGCAAAAATGCCCTCCGGATTTCTCTCTTCCTTGAGAGAACCTCAAGCTTCTGGAAATTTGACAATTTGTCAGAATAGACACAGATTAGCCAAATTCCAAGGAAAGTACCCCTCAATTTTGTTTTATAATTGCAAAGAAAGCTCATTCAGACAATTACAGGGCTGGAGAATCACAAACGTGTTGAGGTTGGACGGGACCATGGGAGCTCTTCTAGTTCAACCCCACTTCCTCAACACAGGGTCAACTAAAAGAGGAAACCTGACTCAGATTTCTAAGCAYGAACCTCCCAGTGACACTCTATTTGCTTTTTACTTTTTTGCCTACAAGACAGCAATGAATAAAGAAACTCCTGTAAATGTTACGGTCATTAAGGAATTTCTGAGAAGGAAAAAAAATATGGAAGTTGAGAACGTCGCCATTTTAAGAGGAAAGTAATCACAAAATTACTGGGGTTTTTTTGTTTGTTTTTTTTTACCTGCAGGAATATCACAAAGAGCAAAAAGTCCCACTCTAATGTCGCCATTCACGGTCCATTTCTGCGTTTCACAGTTTGGATTACAACTATGGTTCATAAAACGAGAATAATTCCCCTTTGGGCCAGCATCTATTATTCGGTCCTTCAAAGAGAAAGATAAACACATGGTTAGTACTGATAGAGGCAAGAAAAGGTTCCTAATGACAAGCACTAGGCATTGCACAGTGCTTTATAAATTCATCTCTCTACTCCACAAAAAATAAATAAAAAAGCCCATTTAAATCAAAATCAAGACAGAAGAAGCCCCTAAATTAGGTGCTCCATAAGGACTTCAATTTTTCTAGTGTACAACAGCTAGAAATGAAACTCATGTGGTTCAGTCTAAAGCAAAGCTCTCAGAGTGGAGTACATTTCCAACACGGAATGATGCTCCTGTTAGGCTTTTCCACCAAGTTCCAACCTCGAGCCCAGTTTATCCCCCACAGAGATGTAATATTTACCTTGGTAACAGTTAACATATAAAAATTGGTGACGCTGTTTTCATGAGCTCGCTTGATCCGCAGTCTGCACTCTTCTTCATCAATTAGCTCCCCGACGTATTCGTTCACAAACTCACCCTGAAAAACAAGAGGGAAAGACAGACTTTTTAATCCATACTTACTGCTTCTAATGTCTACAGACAAAGGGAAGCAGCACAGAAAATAAGGTGTTTCCTACCATTTACTGTAATACTCACAGTAGGCATTAAAGTCCTTGCATCTAGCGGGGAAAAGGTGATTAAGCAGATGTGCCCACTGGTTATTTCTCTTCTAAGCAGCTAAGCTAAAAAGGCAGCACTAGAAGCAACAGTTTCTGTATTCAGCAATAGCTTAAAACACCAAGTCACTCATATCTGGCAGCTCCCTAGAATCCTTTTGTCTCATGCTTATAAGAGGCTAACATGGAAATACTCACAGAACCCTAAGCCAGAGGACCCATCACAATGGCAAATATTTTCACTAGACAGCAGGCAACAGTCTGATTTTATTAGGACTTTTAACAGGCAATAAGAAGCTTTGGAAACTCCACAGTAACAAAGCTTTAAYGCAACACAGATTATACAAAAACGGACGTCACCACCAAAACCATGCTTCAAAAGGGGGCCTCCAGGCCAACAGTGTGTTCCCAACCTTTGCATAATGGAATTTCGAGTAGCTGGGACAGGATGAGACCTTGATACACGGGGAGAAACACTCAGCACACTGAGCATCACTTTGTCAGACAGTCAGTTGACGATGGGCAAAAAACACTGTAAAAAGTAGCTTTCTGATACACTCAAAATCAAGTCTCTAAGGAGCACCTGGTGTTTCAAGAACAGCTCTCCCAAAATACAGTATAATGGGGTAACCAGTCCTACACTGTCATGGTCAGGACACCGTCATGCCCCAGGACGAGCTCAGAGCAGCCAGATCCTCACATCTGGATCAAGACATTTCTTGGATGCACATGGAAATCTCAGCCTGAATCCAAAAAGGCCCCTCCGTCACCACCAAGTTGCTCTCTGTTCAGCCTCTGTGTCTRGGAGCAGCTGGACAACACAACACAATCCTGGAGCCCTTTCGGGAAAGCTCCTGCAGGACCCAAAGCATCTCTGTAATTTGCACAGTAAATGCACCAAAACTCTATCATAAAAACAAACTAACCCTGCTGCAAACAGGCACCATGTACTTGGGAGAGGAATAATCAAAGCCAAGCAGGCAGATATCTAACACAAATGGACAAAAGCCAAGAATTCACAGCTGAAATTACTATATATGAGGCCTAACCTTTCACCTAGACGTGGCAAGATCTCTTTAATGGCTCATCCTACACACTATCTATGTCTACCACATAAACATCACATCACTTAATGATTTAGGAGGTGATTCGGAACCTCTTTGCTTTGATCTATACATTCTGGTTACGCTTGAAGCTAAAACAACATCCAACAGAGACTATCCCATCCGAAACATCACAGCAGACTATCCAAGTCTGGAGGGCAGCCCGTTTCTTTCTATAGAGAAGTGCAGTGAGATCCTTACATCAAAGTCCACCAAAACTATGTGCTGCATCTTTCCAGTGAGAAGCCCCGGGATATTTTCCCTACTAAGATGAGGGCAAATTTAAACTGAAGAAATTAGGAAGGCAACCAAGAGCAAAAGACTTCTCTAGAGCAGGCGCTTGAGGAGGAGTTCAAATGACAAAAATGACGTGTCTGGAAGTGTGAAATTGTCCAATTCCACCTGCAGCCGAGGCTGCAGCTCCTGTTTTTCAGGTGTGTTCAGCCGTCTCCTTGTGCAGGAACAACGAAGTAAATGAAACCCAAACCGATCCATATCCAGGGCCTGAGAGCCGGGGAAAAGCATTCCCATTCTCCCAGCTCACTCTGATCTCATCCACTAGCACTATTTCAAAGATGCCGACCATGCTAATGTGTATTCCAGAGTATCCTGAGGCTAATCAGTCCTCGCTGCTTTTTGCTACGACACCACCAGAAATTTCTGCATCTTCGTTAAATTCTGCATCTTCGTTAAATTCTTCTCCGCCTTCTTGAACTTCCAGAGCCTTCCAGGTTTGGGGTCCAGCGCAGCCCGATCACCTCCAGCCTTTCCTTCATCCCCTGCGAGTTCTTCGGAAATGAATTCAGCCTGGATTTGAGTCGGATGCCAAGGAGGGTGGAAAYAGCCGCCGTGTTCCCGGATGTCCGGATGGGTAATCCCGCAATCCCTCCTGCTCCAAACAACTGGCTACCACGAAAACGCAGTGAGCACCTTATGGAGTAAGATTTTATCTTTAAGAGGAAAAAGCAAAGCCCCCCCAAATAGCCTTATTTAGGCTAAGAAACCATCATCATTTTGTTCCAGACCTCTCTCCTTTCTTTTCCATTGCCATGCTCTTTCCTCTTGGAAGCATGAAAGAGTCAACTCTTCCCTTCCATCAACAGGATTCACAAATTTACAATCAAAATTATTTCTCTGAGTAAATAGCAGTTAAGAYCCTGATTCTGACAAATCAGCTGAGATTTCCCTATTATTCCCTCACCTACCAGAGTTTCCTGTCYTTGTAATACAAAACACTGACTGGCAAGTGCTGAAATTTTTGTTTGCTTAAGCATCACAAAGTTGCAGCCTTCTCACAGGTAACACCATACTAATGGCAGGCACATTTGTCCGGGGCAACTCTACCTTTTTAATGTTCCTTTTTGTCCGGAGACCCCATCCACGTCGCTCGGTTTTTATGATTTCAGCATCGGGGTAGAGTCTTTTGGTGAAACACTGGTTCTGGCAGCGCTCGCCCGCGGGGCAGACCTGCGGGTGACACTCGTACTGCAGCATCCTGTTCAGACACTCCGACTCCAGGCCGCAGGGGTTCTCATCCGAGGGCTTGCAGTTGCAGCGAGGGATCTCGGACAGATCAGCCACCTGAATCTGAACCTTCCCTATTACTTTGTTGGACTGCAGGGCAAAGAGAAAGAATAAACGATGGAGTCAACGCACACAGCACATAATCATCTTTCTTTGAGCTCCCTCATTTGACTGGAGGGGGCAAGCAATTCATTATTACATCGTTATTTTCCCACTAAACCTTTTTTGTAGATTAGTGTGCCAGGACAAATGTAATTCTCTGCAATCCAGGAGCAGACACAAGCACGAGCTTTTACAGGTGGCATCTATTGCCACTCAGCTGTCAACTTCAACAGGGACACACAGTGCTCGGAAGGGCCAGGGTAAGTCACATACSTAAAGCCCATCAGATAAAATCAGGACTCCAGATGATCCAGCATGAATCCCTCCCAGCACTATTGCTGGTTTAACGACTCCTTTAAAGCATGCTAAGTTTATCAAATGCAGCCCTGGGGCTTCTTTCAACTTACTTTAATATGTTTATAAGGTGGAGGCTTTCTTGAATTCCTCTCAATCTCTAGTGCTTCTTTACTTTCTCTTTGTGCTTTCAGCTCCTGGAAGCGTTTTGCTGCTTCTTCAAGTGCTGCGCAAGGGAGGTCAAAATGGGAAGCAGTTAGCACCAGTTACTGTTAATCATACACGTACAAGTATATATATATGTGTATATATATATATATTTAAATGTGTTTTTTTTCTTAAAAACAAAAAAAAAGCTAGGAACTCTATGAGCAAAACACAAGCTAAAAAATGAGTTATTGCAGTATATCATGAAACTCGCTCCAATCTGGTACTGCTCAGTAGTTACTGAGATACTGAATGATGATCCCATGCATTAGAGGCCAAGCTCTGTCTTAACATTTCCCACTTTCTGGAAGAACTGAACTTGCCCGCAACGATACACAATGGGAAGGCACTTAAAGCAAAATATTTTTATCTGCAGTCAAGGGATCTACATAATGTTTGCAGTTTTACGTGAACACAGAACACTAGTCACATAATATTCCCATGCAGGTTAAGTGGTGATGGAGACACAAACACGTGGAACTTTTGTCATAAACCACTATAAACTTTGTTTGATTTTACCTTTCTTGAAGGTCTTGTTAATACTAGTTTGCCCCTCAGCAAAGCTTTTATCTCCTTCAACATAAGGGAAAACTCTGCCCTGGTGTACCCAATAGTAGTCATGTGAACCAAAGAAAAATACTGGGAAGTCCCCGATATCATGTTTGAGGCCCTGTATGTTGAGAGGCACAGACCTGGGATTGCAGATCTCTGCTGGCCACCACCTGAAAAAGTAGAAAAAGAAGTAAAAATCTAAGTCCTGTGAAGCATAAGTCAGTATGAGTTGTGAAGCAAAAGCTACTTTCTAAAAATAAAAACAATTAAAAATATTCCACTCATGCGATCGAGGCTCCTTTTGTCCCCTGCAAAGCACAAACCGCTTCATCCTCCAATTCCAAATGTTGGAAAAGTGTCATAAAGAAACAGTTCCTGTTTCCTAGCAGTGAAGTGATTTGAGTGATTGCTGTGCAACTCTGTAAAGAAATAAGTGTCCAAAGCGTCGAGCGCCGATCGCAAACTTGCCTGTAATTTCCCAGCTTGACCCAAACGATCTGCTTGTAACGTAGTTTCTTGCCAGCTTTACAGTCATTGCAATTCCAGCATCCTTCAGGCATTTCAATGTTGAGACACTCAGGGTGAAAGGAAGCTGGGCAGGATTCACAGCACAGTAATTTGCCACCTTTAAACAAAGAAAGCCCGTTTGGTTTAGAGGATAAGGATTCGCTTTCCTCTGCACAGCAAGAGGTATTAATTTTAAGTTGTACGTTCTAGACTTTGATCTGCCTCYGAGGAAACAAATGGCAAAAGAAAGGGATGGAGCCAAATTTGCAATGCCGGATTAAAAAAGATTAAAAGATTAAAAAAATGCACAGTGCACTTATGTGTAGGTTGTGACTCTTGACTGCAGCCAAGGGGACTGCAAAGAGCAAAGGAGGATTTAAACACGAGGGAAGCGGGCACTGGAAGCAGGATTCCCCAAGGAAGCACTGCCCAGGAAAGCAGCAGCGCCAGCTTTTGTGCAGCGTGGCCAACACTACCTGATAAATGAGGGAAATTATTTTCCCTAATAGGAAAACAGGGAAAACTTCTCAATCAGCGTTGTCAGGACTGAATCCCTTGGCAATCAGGGTGCACGGGAAAAAAAACAAAACAAAACACAAAATCCCACCGGCTATAGGCTGATCGTTGCTTTTCTGCACCAAAAAATGGTATAAAATAAGAATTGTAACAAGCTTGGGTTTATTCTTTGAGAAGTTTACCTGTAGGAGTACTGTAAATTCAAAATGAGATAGTGCACAAGAGCTCTCCCCATCCCCAAAGTTCCCTTTAGGGGCAAAGGAAAGCAGAACGCAGCAGGRTTAAGATTATTTCTTAAATTTTACATGTATTTGGGCAAAAGTTCTTTTGGCTGGTTTATATTCTGGCAGATGTAGTAACTGTGGAGAGCCAGGGCACATCTCCAAGCCACCAGGAAGAAATAAAACGGCTCATAAGATAGCATTTGTTTATATATTTATATATTTTTTTACATATATACTCACACACATGTACACACACATATATATGTGTGTGTGTGTGTGTATATATATATATGTGTATAAATAAAAATGTAGTAAGTTTTGGGGTCTCAGACTGAAAGATGGGTGGGATTTGTGTGCATTTAATGCAGTTTTGGACCACAAAATCAAAGGAAGTGACAAGGGCAGCATTTAAACATTTATCAGAAAAATCTGTTCACCTATAGTCTTGAAGGAAAGTCCTTGCATTAATCAATTGCTGCATATTGCAATAAGCGTTCCTTAAGCAAATCGGTGACATGATAAATACTGTATTTCCTCTGCTAAAAATAATAATAATAATAATAACATCCAACTATGTGGACTTCCCTGAGCTCCCCAAACCTCCAAGAAAGTTTTAATTTCCAAAATCATTTTTGCAAATGTTGTTTCAGAGGAAATACAGCCCCAGCACGAATTACTGCAACAGCATCCAACAGGGTAAAACGCCAAGCGATGCAAAACCAAACCAAAACAGGAAAAAAACAAATACACAATTTTCAGTGCTAAGCCAGAGGCAAAAATAAATAAATAAATAAATAAATAAATAACGAAACTTTGCTCTTGGGATGCATTAGTAAGATATTGTTCGAGCTAAGCAGAGGGCTCAAAATAATTTTTGGTTTTGGGAATTACAGAAAACACTCCAAGCCATCGGTGTTAGAGCATTCAAAATAACCTAACTTTAGAAGGGTTAATCGGGCACCGTTTCGGAATCCTCTTAGGAATCGAATTCTGGGGGGAAGAGAGCAATCCCCSAGGTGCTTTTTATGGACATCGGAGTCTCTTTCCGTAAGGTATTTGGGGATCTACATTACGTGCACAGTGTCGAATCATTAAGTGTCTCCTGGCGAATTCCCTCTGTTCCCCGTCGGAGCTGCAGTGTTTTTCTTTGCAGCCTGTGGGCTCGGGATGCAGCATCTCCCGTCACACGAGACCAAGGGGCACCMGCTCGCCCGAGCCCATCCACGGGGAGCACAGGCACAGACACCTCCGCGGGAAAACCCTTTCCAGCGGCCTGGGATTTCCTCGGGAGCAGCAACAGCACCGATCCACGGGCAAGCRGAAAAATCCTCTCCTCTCTCAGGGTTCTCAAACTCTCCCTAAAAAGAATTGCAACAGAACAGGCCCCTCTTCTCCCTTAAATAAAATCCAGTTAAGATGCTGTCGGGTTTTAATCCAGGCAGGCACTGAACTGCAACACCATGAAGCTCTAGTTGGCTCCTCTTTGCCTTGTTGTGCAAATAGCTGCCCCGAAGCCAGGGGAACCCAGGGGAGCTACAGAACCGGATAACCTCTGGCGAGGGGAATTTAGTGACAGGAATTATTTTAAGCCCTTTTGTAATTAACAAAAAATTGCCCACAACATGAACACACGCTCACAATAACCAAGGTTACTAAAAGCAACAAGTGGTGCTCGACAAGCAGACATTTCTTGTTTGACTTAAAGAGAAAGAAATCACAGAGAAAAGCAAAAGTAAATTAAAGAGAAAGAAACTATTTTGGTTACCTTTCTCACATTTCTTTTTGGAAGCTGACGAAGGAGGAGGAATCATAGGTAATTTCATCAACTCAGCACGATTTGATTCATTCAGTAGGTAGTGGGACTTATAGGCATATGAACTGAACATGGGGTCTGAATGATCCTGCACTACCAGCCCTATACGAAACAAACAGAAAGAGATGAGTTGCAATGAAACTACCCATGATTCCGTAAAGGAGAAAATAAAATCAATCAAATGAACGCCTCTAATGCACATATACACATAAGGGTGAATGGAAAGAGATAAAAAAGGAGAAAAAAGAAAAGGCTGACAGGAAAGGTTTCTTGACTAACAAAGAGGTTGCGTGTTGGAGAGGCTAAATTCAGCTGCATCTGGACAAACTTACAAGGAATAAGCCACTTCCGAGGGCAATTTCCATTGTGCTTTTAGTTTTGCTATGTGCATTTACAGAAAAGCACAGAAAAATGTGACTGCTGCGCGGAGCACCCTCCCTCCCAGAGGACCCCAGCCCCTTGCAAGGGCTGAGCCCTGCTGGTCACTGCGGCCGCGGTGACGCTGCTGCTTGGGGCTACAAGGAGGAAAGCCAAAGAGGCACAGGAGCCCCACGGGAGCAAAAAATTCCCATCCTGCTACACGGCTGCAGATCTGATCTCGAAGCTTTTACCTCCAGAATGTGCTTTGTCTTTATTGCTGCATTAGAGAAAGCAAATGAAACAAAATACCTCCCTCCCTACCCAACAAGGGGAAGGGGCCACCGATTCTGCAAAGCACCCGAGGCAAAAGACCAGAGGGAATCCATCCTATGCCACGTAAGCGAACGGCGAAACTATCCAATAAAACATTTGGCAGCAGTCAATGCCATTCTGCCCACACTTCAAATGATGTATTTGTTCTTTTTCTTTGGTCCACGGGGCTCTGAGAAGCGCAGACTAAAGCTCTAGCTCAGAAGAGGACGGCTGGGAACCTGAAGCAAAGAGTCCAGCACCACGGAGCAGGAGATGAGCTATGGAAACAGGCCCCAAATCTTTCCCTAGGGAGCAGATGCTGAATGGAGGGTGCCCCAAAACCTGGAATAGGGAGCAGGGTGCCTGCCCACCCAAAAAGGAGGTCCTTAGAGGGGTTCATAAAGCACTTATGAGCTTGTAAGTATGATCTAGACTTAGGCAATTATGTGAAATAGAAAGGGCTCAGAGAAGGATAGTTCAAGATGCGAATGCCAAGTCTTAAGATCTCCTGGATTTCCAGTGTCTGGGAATAAGCAAGTTTTAACTGTGCTACAAGTGCTCTCACATCCGCATTCCCATCCTTTGTACTCAAATCCAAAACATTACGGAAGTTTCTCCTGTCTATTATCAGCTAAAGCTTATCAAACAACCCTTTGTACCATCCCACTGCTAAAGGGTGGCTCATGGGCCAGTTCATAAAATGGGTGCCAAAGAGCAGCTTTCCCAGAAAGTCCTTCAATACATCCCRTCCAACACAAGTGGGAAGCCTCCATTTCACGGCTTTGGGTACAACGTACGCAGGCAAAACATGGACAACAAGACTAATCACGAGATTCATCTCCTGTTAACAAGATTTTTTCTGAAGCAAACAGCATCAGGATTCCTGGATTTTACAAGTCAGCTTCGGACACGCTTGGTGGCTGGTCACAGCTTCAGAGAAGCTGCTTTGAATCGTGCAAATTGCTTCAGTATTGCAGCTTACGACTGTGTTTCTAAATTGGCAGCAAATCAAAGATTGATGGAAAACCYCGATTCTCCAAGTCCGTCACTGCTTTTCATTCACATTCTAGCCCAAACCCAGCTCTTACGGTTGAGATTCAAGATGTTTTTGGCTGCAGCACAACTCGCTAAAAGCTTGGAAAGACAAATTTCTAACCCAGATTTTCCAACTGAGGAAGATGCACAGAACCCAGTCTGTCGCATAGACCTTGATGCCAGACTAACCTTAAAGTTGGAGATAAACAACATAAAACTGCCCTGATTTAAATATTATGGAACTTGGTCTACCTACCACAGAAATAGCCGTGTTTGACACAAAATGCCCCAAAACATTAAACATTAATCACACGTTTTGGCTAGCTACGCGTCAACAACACAGCAACTGGCTATGTATATGTATATACATACATACATATATTATGTATATAATATATATACACACACGCCCACATATATATAAAACCCGCTATAGGAAGAGCATAAAGACACATTCAATATCATAAAGTTTCCAACACTAAACCTCCAACTGAATGAACGCAAGTAGAATAAGGCTTTATTAGAGATTTCCACTCTTTACTAGTTAGTGATTTTCCAAAGCTGGTGACAAGAATATACCCAACGTGAAATATCTGAAATTATCTGAATATTTGATATTCAGATATCTGAAAATATCTGAAATTACTATTCAAAAACCTAATCATGATACTACTCTGCTTCATCTGAGAGAATCACAGAAGGGTTGATGTTGGAAGGGACCTCTAGAGACCATCTAGTCCAACAAGAAAACCTATGTTTGCATTTTGGAATGAAACAACTGATGTCGCAAAACTTTTCAATTTATCTGGCAGAAGTCAAGGGACTGAAGAGCCATAACAGTAACCATTAGGGGAAAAAAAATTAAAAAATGGAAAAAAAAAATTAGCATATGGAGAATAAATCAACATAAAACTTATTTATGTGGTATTGTGTAAATGTTTTCTTTCCAAGTTCTCAAATGTGATGGTTGCTATAAATTAAATTGAATTCTTCTAACTCACAAGTACATCCTACCTTGTGGACTTAAAAATGGAACAGTTTTTTAAGTTTAAGTGGTGAAGCAAGCCCATTCTGCTTAAGAGACTGTCGGGRGGTAACACAGCACTGCAAACATCCACTTTTCCCCCCCACTGACAACACGAGCATCTCTGGCTATTTCTAAATACCCATTATTAAATAGCAAATAGAAGTCTAACAAAAACTGTTTACTATGTTGAGGGGAAAAAAATAAAAAAGAGGAAGCACTAAAATCCAAGGAGGAACCCCCCAAAGGAATTCTTATGAATTTTTTAATCGTTTAAAATCATTTTTAAGCACTGAACTGTACAAGTAATCATAGAACTATAAAACAGAAGGGAAGAAAACCCAAATGTGCTCACCTCTTGCACAAACGAAACAAAAGCCTACATTTACAGCTGATGAGGAGTGATTCCTTTTGGAATGGTTACTACAGATGAGAATGTGGGATGACACAAACAAGCTTCCTGCAGCAATACAGCCATCTCCTGAGTGATAGGCAATGGGACATCTGAAACATCTCACCATGCGACCTGTTTAATATAAATGCAGAAAGAAAAACGCACCAGGTCACCCTGGAATCACGATATGGTAGAAGGCACCACACAGACAGATGCAAGATTGATTTTTATTCCCATCGAAGTACTGAAGAGAGACATTTCCATCTTTAAAAGGAATGTTTCACTGAAGTTGGGAGTTAAATTTCACTTTAAAGCCGTGTTGAAAACCAAATAAAAAAAACACACCATGGTTTTAACTTGGTTCTAAACCACGTTAAACCTGGAGTCTGCTTGTTCTGTTTAATCGTTTTGCTTTGCTTCTAAAAGGAGAATTGCCTTCTGGAAAGTAACTGCTCTGCAGGCCACTGGCAAGCATCTTTTAGAAAGATGCTTCAACCTTGTACCACTAACCTACCTTGCATCAGGCCCAGGTATTCACAACAACTAAAAGCAATTAATTATTACGGATTCAGGTAGAAAAGAGGTTTCATGCTATTTTCCCACCCACGAGAGCTTCATGTTAACAGTATCATTAAAAACACCCCTTTGCCCCTACGTGATGCCCTGGAGAGGATAGTGACACTCGTGGCCGTTGCTGTGAGGGCGTCTGGCCTCCTCCTCGCGCCGGCGCTCACCTTTGCTGGCTTTATGCATGTCCTTGTCCACGGAGCAGGCCGTGCAGCAGTGCTGGGGGCAGCGGAAGCCGCGCGCCTCGAAGAGCGCCGTGGCGAACTGGCGCACGCAGGCCTCGTGGTAGAACTTGCCACAGGCCGCCACGGCGCAGCGCTTCACGTCCCTGCCGGGCAGCTTGCACGAGAAGCACGTGTGTTCCCCTGCGGAGAGAACCGCACACAATTATCAACGGCAGTTTGGTGGCGATTCGCGGCTTGCAAGGAGGAAAAAATCCGGAGTCGGACAGGTTCAAGCTGCATGGATGCCTTTCCTTGAAGTCTGTCGCTATAATCCACAATAACTATGGAATTGGTGCTAGCAGAAAGTCCATGATTATGAGTATACGCTGAGTAATGCATTGCTTGTTCTCGTACCAGGTTTTTGTCACGTAGCAAATAACGATTTGGCCTCAGAAGTTAAAAATCAAGTCAAACTAAGGCAAAAAATCAAGTCAAACTAAGGCAAAAAATCAAGTCAAACTAAGGCAAAAAATCAAGTCAAACTAAGACAAAAGTAAAAATAAGACAAAAATAAAATAAAAATAAAAACAAACCCATGCCTGGAAGTTGGAATCTTTCTCACCCTACGTGTTCCGCCCAGGACACGGCTCCTCAGAAGAGGAAATCACAGAATCACGGAATATTCAAGGTTGGAAGGGACCTCTAGAGATCATCTAGTCCACCCTTGAAATCCCTCCCCGTCTCTCAGCCGCGGGCTCGCATTTACCGTTTTTACACTCGGCGCAGACAAACTTCTCCTCGGGCGCCGCCGTCAGGCCAAGACACTCGGCGTGGAAGACCCCGCAGCACTCGCCTTCGCAGGACACCAGCGACTCGCCGGAGCTTTCGCAGATCTTAAACCAGCAGAACAACTAGTCAGAGAAGAACGGGTATCTGCCACCCTTAAATATCGATGACTTGGAGATGTTAAACCAAGCAAAAAGCAAAAGAAATCACCATTTGGCCAAAACTGGCTGAAATGGCCTCAGCGCTACAATATGGCAGAAGATCGGTCTATGCCTCAGGGCACYCAACAGTATCTAGGGGATGGAGACAGTTACTAGATTTTTTGCCCCCTCAATGGTGCCAGSCCTTTATTTCATGGGTAGTTAGGAGAATTACAACACCGGGACTCATATTTTCTTGTAATTCTAAAAAGGAAGAGCGTTTTTTCCTTGCTGTTCATCAGGAAAGTGGTCAGAATATTCCTGTGTTTGACTCTCCAAACTACCAAAAAACTATTTCTGAAAGGCCACCTCAAATGTTCACATGGAGCAGAACCTGGCACGTAATTTTTCTATGTGTATGGATTAGATTAAAATGTGGATTAGATTAAAATATCTGAACTTTCTGGCATGTAGAAGGGCTTAAGAGTCATCTCTAGAGCATAAAAAAMCACCCATAAAAGCCTAGATATTTCACCTAAAACATCAAATTATGAGACAGATAAAGTGGTATAATTCGAAAAAAAAGAATATCAAATCAGCTTACTATCAGAGACAATTCACATTCGGCGTGTATTTCTTGAGAGGATCCCTGCTTACCTGACAAACGGTGTCTTTTTTACTGGTTCCAGTTCCTCTCCTGGACAAGCTGGAGTCCACTGACTGCACATCAGAAGCATCAGCATCCGCAGTAGCTGAGGGGCTGTCTGAACGTTTCCCAAAACTACCCTACAAAAGGGAGAAAATCCAAGGCACTCTAAGCCAACATACTTGCAAAGGACGGTCACGCTGTGAAGAAAAATATTGAAGGCATCGCTGCCTGAAAGATCAGTYGCTGTGTTAAGAAAGTTAAAGTTCCTTGAAAATAGCTGAGCTTCACTACAATGATACAAGAAATATTGCTTTCTGAACCCATCTTTTACTTGCACAAGGCAAAAGTTGCTCATTTTTTCTCTTTTCTGCCACCTCTCTCTTCTGCACCAAAACAGAAGAGTAAAATACACCAAAATCAACCAAATCCCTCAATTCCCAATTTAGCAACTTTCCAAAGAGCCAAACAAGACAGTGATATGTTTTGCTAGGCAGAGGAATAGCAAAATTAGTAAAGAAAAATTATATATATATATTTTTAAATTGCAATATAGAGGAAGATGAAAAAAATAAAAAGATGATGCTTTATTTTTCAGACAACAGGAATTATATCTCACAGATTTAGCAATATGCAAACAAAGAGTCTGTTTTACCACTGATCAGCTCAACAAGCCACACAGTCTCTGTGAGAAACAACGTAATTTTACCTGTAAATCATTAAGTCCTCTTGAGTCAGAGTCAGACGTATCCCTGTACGCTGAGCTAGTCAGCTCTACGTCAGTTGAGGCACGACTCCTTTTCTTTAAAGGTTTACAGGAATCTGAAATCTCGCTGGCACCTTAATATAACGTACCAAAATTAGTCCTAAAAGATGCTCTCAACTCTTTTTTTTTTTTTTCTTAAAAAATGAAAAAATAAAAATTAAAAGCCCTGCAAAAACTAACTAAATGAAAATCAGTTTAGGATGATCTTCTGCGAAACTTGTGGGTATCCTGACAAAGCAGAGGAGGCTACTAAACTGTTCCTCTAATATTAGAGATTACCATCTTTAATCTCTAATAATTATTAGAGATCTCTAATAATTATTAGAGATTAATCCACAAGATTAGAGAATATTACCTCTCCATCATTCAGCTTTAACACACAGATAGGCAAAGGCATCACCTTTCTTATTTTATTTTCTAATACATGACAAAGCCAGGAGGAGGAACTAAACTTAGACCTATCTTCCCAACTAGCACCGCGAAACCAAACACATAAACACCAAAAAACCCACCTCACAAGGCAAATTAAGATCAATGTTTATCATAACGACCATCAGGAAGCATTAAGATCTCTGTAGTTCACAGGGACTGCAAGCCATGAACRCGATATGAGGAAGGGCCAGCAAATTTAAAACGGGGTTTATGTTTGGTTAAGTCAACTCACCTTTCTGCAGTCCTGTCTTCACTGCAGTCAGTGGTACCATTTCAACCTGTTTGAATAGGAAAATCCATAGTTAACAGAGCAGAGGCATTTCCCCCCCTAGTATTAAAAAAGAAAACATTTAAGTTTAAGCGATTAGCATAGCTGAACTCAGATGGAGTCTGTCATCCCCTTCTTAGCGGGAGCCTTCTGGTCCTGTCGGGTTTAATCCTAGCTGCCTACGCTGAACACCAGGAGCCAAGGCAGCCGTGGGAGCGCTAGCAAAGTCCTTCCCAACTGCTCCCTTTGGGCATGAAGACGAGAGGGAAGGTTCCTCCGTGTCCAGCAGGCACCAGCGGGGTTCTTTTGGGCAGCCAACGCTGAGGCTTTTGTAAAACCCCACAGCTGTGTAAGCACAGGTCTGACCTTAAGAGGTAGGACACTCTTAAGTGTTAGTGAGACACTTAACGCCGTGCCACCTAAAGGCACTTCCACCACGCATGCACTCGGTAGCTTCAGGGAACACAGGCCTTTCTCTGTATAGAGTGCTGCAAGGCCCACCAAGATGGGGGCCCGACTTCGCACGGGGCGTTGCAGAGCTCTATACAGCGGGAAACTCAATGCCAGGAGGGACTTCAGCAGCTACGGTTAGCAGCTCGCAAAAGCACTGCAAGTTCTCGACCCTACAGCAGAAGGGCACGTTTAGAAACTGCTCTGCCAACGGACGTGGAACGGGAGAATTTGGCGCCTGCCTCATCATTAGAGAAGGAGGTTGTTGCCTAAAGTCTTGTTTTTTAAGCTTAAGAATTACAAGATTTTTTTCTTTTTTCTTTTTTTTTAAACAATGTGGTTACATATGCATGTAGAAACACATTTAGTAAATATTTAAGGATTATTCTATAATTTTTTTAAAAAATATTTTATTTTGTTGTACAATAGGTAAAAACATACAATAGAAGGATTTGTATAGGATACATTTCGTAATACAAATATAAAATCTAAACAATCACTTTTATTTCTCTACTACTCACTGTAACAGTAGCATTAACATTTTGTTTTTCCCATTAATTGTACTCGTTCCAGTTATAATTTTATACCAAGTGGTTGCAGACTAATTTGGGAATCAGTTGCAAGAAAACTTGACTTTGGGTAACAAATATTGTTGCATAATTGTAAGAAGTTAGGTTTTTTTTTTTCTTTTCTTTTTTTTTTTAATATAACTTAATACATTCAAGGTTATGCGCATTACAGTGCATCTTTGTTTAAGTTTTAGTCATACACTTTTCCTGAGAAAAGCAATTTTATGTTCATAGTCTTAGTTAGCTACATAATATACGCATAAGCAAAGCTAACTGGGATCCATGAAGTTCATATTGTTGGTTCTTATACCTTTGTTAAATTAAGAAACATTTACAAACACAAAATAACTCATTTGAAAATACGGTGGCTGCAAAACCTCAGGACGAGAGGTTTAAGGGACGTCAGACACCTTATGCCCAAGGTTGCTTTGAAGTTTCAGCAAGAAACTTTTTAAAGTGAGAATATTCTTCTGCTGGACACAGAAGTAAATGCTATAGCATAAAAAAAAAGGAAAAAAATAGGAAAAATAAAAAGGCAATTAAGTCTACCTTCAACCTCTGAAATGAACCAAGTGCAAAAAATAAAGTGTAAAGGGCAAAGAATAAATTAGATTAAAACAGATAAAAACATTCCCCCCCTCCCCATTCTCATAATAAATCTTTAGACGGACCACTCCTTGTTAAAAATGCTCATTTTTAAAAAAAGCTGTAGGAGAAAACCTTTTTATATAAAAAATTCGCAGGTTTCAAGTGGAGAGACCCTTAAGGAGGGAAAATTGACCATGCAAGGAAAAGAACCAACAACTTTGACAAGCTTGTTAAGAAAGTGTATTCAGTATTTAATGTTAAAGCACGTCCATCTGCTCAACTTCCCTATTCATTCCCAGATTTTTAATTTTTTTTTTTTTTTAATTAAAGCAACAACATTTGTCTGCCTGACATCCAGATTAAAGGAATGCCCTGTACATGTTAGATCTACTTAAGGAAAAAAAAAAAAGTATACCCCAGAAGATCTGTTTTTCTGATGTCTGCCAACATAAAAGTCAAATTATTCATCTTTAAGTTAAATCATTCTTAGAGTCCATTTTCAAAAGTGGTCAGATTAATCAGTCTAATTTCATTTGAAAAACAAAACCTCAATACAAACCAGCAGCTAAACCAAGAGCAAGAGGAAGGAACCTGGTGGCAATTCCATCAAAGAAATTACTGAAACAAAATCACTTTGCTCATTAACAGAAATCTCAAAGGAAACATGGCACGTTCGTTAGGAGTCTTGCATCATTGAGTTCCCATTATCCATAGCCTGACTGATACTGTGAAGATGCCAGTAGCAGAGTCACAGCAATGGTTTTGACAGGGGGATTTCATGAAGGATAGTCCAAAACGAAACCCGATGGGGAAAAAATGGAGAAAAATAAAAAGGCACCAATATAAGCCACAACATTTATGAATACAATATATTTTAACTCTCTACATGGAGGAAGCCAACCTGCTCCTTTTTGATCTTCTTCTTTGGCACAACTTCAGTGGATTTCTCAGACTCTGAGCGGGTTCGAATCGATCTTCTCTGTTGCTTCTTTTCTACAGAACCTGAAGAAGGAAAAAGGTTTCCATTACACGATTCCTCGTACTTCACACTGACAGCAAGACGTTGAACACGAAGTCAACAGATAAAGTAACGAAACCAAGACTTTTTTTTTTCCTCTTTTGAATGTTTTATTTTTTAAATTCAGGTCCAAGCTATTTGCCAACTGGGTCTCTGGTTGCAGATAACACCTCTGGACTCCCCAGGGAGAGGCCGCTGCAGAAAAAGACACCAGTAACAGAACAAAAGGAAAGGCTGGAATCCGGTTTAGGGCAAACAGGTTTTTCACGACCCAACTCTCAGAGTCTTCGCTTCGGTTAATTTTTAACCAAACAGTCCGTCTTTGGTGCTTTTGGAAAGGTCTCCACGTTCAACGTCTTCAACTAAAGCATGCTAGAAATTTCAGACACAAAACAGCTTCCAGCATTTCACTCTCAAAAACACAGTTCTGCGCCCTGCCGTGCAGCAAACAGGGCAGTTTTCTGCCAGAACTCTAGCTATCAAAAAACCTTAAGTCCAAAAGCACATTATAACACGTGCCACRAATTGGAAATTCTTGACTAAGGATTTCAAGAGGCAAAAAAGCTTCAACAAAGCCAGAAAAGCAGTTACAAYGTGCACTACTGTAATAAAACTGAAAACCAAGTTTAAATATATATATATAAAAACATGGAAAACAAACTCGGATTTATGATTGTCATTATGGTGTTGCAAGAAATTATAAGTTGCTGATTTGGGGGGGGCTGGTTCTGTTTGGACACCTAAGGTAGGTGAGATCAGAGGACACTTCTGTGCTCCAGGTTTTCCCTAAAGGCTGGGCTGGGGACACGTCCACACTTAGCCAGGGRACAATTTTTGAAAGAAAGTTAAAGAGAGCAGGACAGGCAGCAAAGTGAAGTTCCCAGTTTTGAAATGATCTTGTCTCGGTTTTCCCTTTAATCTTCTTTTTCAATTTGGGGCGCTTTAACTGAAGAGGACAAGACTGAAAGGCATTTTCTCTTCTCATGAGTGAAAATACAAATCCCTGAGACCAGGAATTGGCTTCCAGAGTCATGGTGAGCAGTCGAAAGCCTCTGCCTTGTTTTGGGGTATAGTATTAACTAGAAAGAAAGGCAGACTTCAACCATGGGCTGGGAAAAAAAGCCTTTCAAAGGATTCCAGCAGAAACTTGCATTTCTTCCTTCAAGCATCTTGATGAACCGGAGGAGCTTAAAACACGCGGAGCACGTTGYGTGTTAGTGCTGCGTGTGGTTTCCAAAGTGCCAGATTAGATTCCCAATTTAACCCATCTCCTCTGTTAAACCGTGCACCAAGGTGAGCAGGAAGTGCAGTCAGCCCARGTGTTTGCTCCCTAGCTTCCCAGGGAACACTCAGGGAATTAAGGGGCAAGGTCTGGTTCCGAGGAGAAGCTACCACCACTGCACTCGGTACGGGCCAACAGCAAGGTCGATCTCTGCAAGAACTCCGCGTGGCGCCTCCGCAAGGCTCCTATATCCCATCCTCAGGCACACCTGGATGCAGAGCTTCAGGCCGGGTTTCAGAGCAGCAATCTGCTCTGCTGCCGAGCAAGCCAGGCCAACCTCTGCTTCAGCCCTGAGCGGAGACCCGCAGCACTCAAAATCCTCACCGCCGATCCCGTATCAGATTCCAAAGTTACAGATGTAACTGTGCAGGGAACTCGGAATATTTAACTGCAGGTTATCAATAAGGACTCCCAGAGTCATTCTTTAAAATACATTAGCATAAAGGTATTCTGAAGCGCCGGTGACCTTAAATTTAAAAAAAGGCCTTTGCAGTTATGTTCCCTGAGAGGGGACCAGTAACTGTCTGGCCTTTGGMAATGGCTTTGAGGGTGACTGTTTGGAGTGGATACTAAAGTAAAGCTCATGCACTGCAGAGGGTGTTAGCAGGTGAAGTTTTACATAGCCAAAAAACCTAAGAAAATGAAAAAAGAGAGGCTCAGAATTCTCCTTTATGTGTGAAGGGCCATTGAGAAGGTTCSTTTAGTTCCCAGGTGAGAGAAACAAAACTCCTCATCTCTCCTGCTGCAAGGCAAGTAAAGGAGCTTGCAAAAAGTAGAAGTTTGGAAAAGCTGCAGCCACCCACAGGGGATTGAAGAGTCGCTGGGAACAACCGCGGAGGAAACCCCGCTCACGCCAGGACCCCAGGGTGCTCAAACTGGGGTCCTGCTCAAATCCCCAAGCGCTGCCCGGGGAARAGCACCTACAGAACAAGCCTTCCCACGAGCTCTGCGAGAGCAAAGCTGCATTTGCAGGAGTGAGTCTTCCTGGGGATGTTGTCCCCYGTGAGGCTTTTGACTGGGAGTCACACTTCATTTTTGTTCAGAAAAGCAGAAACAACCACGTGGGCAGATAATTAAAGCAAAAGCGACGCTGAGTAACATTACACGGTCTTTACTCTCTGCAAGAAAGAGGGTTTTTTTTTTTTTGCTGTGTAAACTGCAAGAAGTTTCCCACCCTTTGCTTCTGTAACAGCATTTGTTCACCCTACTATAAGAGTTTGTTCACCCTGCTATGAGAGAGTGGGTCCTGCTCCAACCTCAAATTTACCTTGACATACCCAATGTAAAACTAAATATGCTCAAGCATTCCACGGACACGATTAAAGCACAGAAACACGCAATAATTAATGCATTTTACACGGCTGGTACAAAGGCTGAAATACGGAAGTGACTACAGAAAATGAAGGAACTTGCAAAGCTCTCGGCTTAGGATGACTCAAGATCGTGTCTCTTTTCAGGAACCTCTATCCTTTCCCCAGAAGGGTATGTGTCTCCTTTGGAGGATGCTGAGAGAACACACTGCAGAAGGAAATTTCTGCTCGTGGGGAGAAGCATTCCCTTTGGAAGAATTCCCGTTAGCTGCTTCTTAAACAACAACCAAAAAAAAAAAAAAAATCAAAAGATGTTTCTTAAAACTCAAAAAGCAGGGGAAAAAAAGAGAAGTTTTCTGTTCCAAGGCTAAACAGCACTCGTTCAGTTTATCATTTTTCTTCTTCTCTAGTACCACACTAGAGATTAAACTTCAAGTAGTTTATTCTAGGCTCGCTTTCCAGGCTCGACCTCCATTAGTTGCTGCAGGGACTCTTCTTCCTCAGCCATAACACTTCACAGAACACGGTGCTTCGCAAGGGGACCCCTAAAATGCTTTCAAAAGAAAAGCACTTTCTCATTTCGTTGATGGCACCAGCTGAAGCAGCACAGAATTTCACTTCCTTTACAAAAGTCAGACAGGAAGGCAAAAAGGAGCCTCAGGGAAAGCTCTCATCCTGAGAGTTGTTCTGCACCAAACTGGGACTCTTCAAGACTCTCTTCCTTTGATCCCAGTTGCCATTTTTTTTTACATTGGGGCCCTAAAGACAGTACTTTGCTAACACAAATCCACTGTATTGCCYTCTAAAGCAGCTTGCTATGCTCTCCACAACACAGACACCCTTCCARGATGTTGAATCCTGGAGCACTTTGAGTTGCAGACAACGAGAGAGGTCACGTCGGCCAGGCCCAGACATCCTCAAACAAGAAACAACCAAACCCATTTTTTACCTCACGGGGAAATACCAGTTTTTTACATCTGAAATCAAGTGCTAGCTTGAAAAAGCTTAGGCAAGGAGCCCACAGCTTTGCCTACCTGCAGACCCCGAAGTTGTTTCAGGAGAGGACGCATTTTGCACCACTGCTTTTTCGGTCCTCTGATTTGACGAAGAATTAAGCTTGTCTTGTCCTTTGACGCTTATTTCTGTTTTGCTGCCAACTCCCTTAAAAAGGAGGACAAAAAATAAGTTAGCTTCATTGTATGTGTTGTTGCTAACAGACATATTAATCTACTCCTAAGTCTCAGGATAGAAAACTCCAGTGCTCTTCAATCAGACACCTATATATATGCAACAATATTTACTGCTGAGCTGCTCCCTTTCCCTCCTTCTCAATCTCGACTTACGCACAGGGGAAAGAGAAGAAAAGTATTTGGTGGCTTTTCTAAAGAGCATCCTACCTATAATGCTTAGGATTAAATAAATATCCTCTGCGTAGGAGGCAGAAGGAAGCAGAGAAATAGCCCTAAACCTTTTCCTTATACTGAGAAGCTGCTGTTSAGCTGAACGAAGCTAGGAGGCAGAACTCATTTGGAATAAGTCTACTACACAGAATGTGTAACTTGAGAAACATATTAGCAAGAGTTTTGCCACGTTTCTCACAGATTAACTTTTCTTAATGGATTGGTTTAACTAGAAAGGTGAAATGAGTCAGCTATGATATACTGAGCAAATTATGAGCCAGAATCAGCACTTAGCAGCATTTGTAGGGAGCCCCTCTGCTGGCAGCCAAAACGGCCAGGGACAGAGTTTTGGTTGCATTGAAATTAAGCGTTTACTGCAATAAAAGTCCATGTTGTTGAATGACAGATTTAGTGTCTCCAAAAGACATACACTGCTGCAGGTTGGCGGACACAAGWGCCACCTCTGCAACAGGAGGGCTCATCCCCAGAAAAAGAGCAGTCCCCCCGCAAGCCACCTACCTTCGTAGAATAAACAAACTGATCGATGAGCTTTCCATCCCCAGCAGCGTTCTGGAGGGCAAAAACCTGCTCTATTTTAACCACTGGAGACATGTTACATTTCTGAAGGTCCAAGGTCCCCTTGTGCATGGTGATTGAGGCCGGCAAGGACTTGCGAGCCGCGGCGGTTTTCCAGGCTATTTTCACAGGAGGAGGCTCCTCTTCCTCCGCGCTCGACTGTCGCCTTTGGCTCTGTCTTCGCGCCTCGGCACTCGAGGGCGACGCGGCCGCCGCGGCGCCGTGTTCCAGCTGCGCGTTGGGTGCTGGCTTCGGTCGCCTGTTCTTCTTCGCCTCCGCTTTGGAAGCTGCAGTCTTTTTGGCTTTGGACAAAGCCTCCTCGGGCTCTTGGTCTATATAAATGAAGGTGTATTGTTCTATCCTCTCTTCTCGAGTCATTTTCAAGGCTTTCTCAGCATGGGCAATACCAATATCCCACTGAGCCCGCTCTCTTTGTGGCCTCGGTTTGCGAATCTTGAAGAATAAAGACAAGCAGCTAATTACAGCGAATACATCTGTTCAATTTTCCATTTCTCCCTCATAAACACCCTTTTCCTCCCCATCAATGTTTCCGCTAGCACAAATACTGACTTTAGTYCATCCTACAAAGCAAATAACTGCCGTAGCTAACGCTTCCTTTCTAAGGCAGCACTGGGAAAGGACGTGTCAACTCTCCTACGGCTACACAGGAATTCTTTTTTATTTGATATTATAGTATAGATATAAAATGACACTCGATGCCTGGGATGACTGCCATCGTAAGAAAGACATACAAGAAGCTGAACCACCAGGGTCTTCRCAGGGAGGTAATGAAGAAGCAATGAAACCTTTCTGAATGCTACTTTTGCAGGTGACAGAACCTTTCCCGGGGCTGGCACTGGAGCACTCCGGCCTTGCCGGGTTGCCCCGGGCAGGTTTGGCTGGCGCGGGCACAGGCGCTCCGTGGTGCTCCTACCTTCTGTTTCTCAGAGTGGTTGCTGGCTTGCTTAGCAGCCTCGGCCAGTAACTGCTCGTACTGGTTGTGTCCTTTGTACTCTCGGACGCGCTTCTCGTGCACCCACGCCCTCTCGGGCTGGTTGCTAAAAAACTGCACGTGGTATTCGCGGGCACCTGCAAGTGAAAGATTCTAGTGAGCGCTTTTATCATCTCCGCTGCTCTGGCTTAAGCTCTCCTCTTCCATATGCTCCTTAAGATAAGGCATGTATAGCTGAAGTTGGGCAATAAATGGGGCCTCCAGTGCAAACATGCTGCCAGGGTAGATAAGGGAACTTTGCCTAGACCTCACACTCGCACTTACCAGCATCTTCTCACTGACAGCGACACGAAAAGAGTAACCGTGGGAGCATCTGTTCACAGGCCTAATATGCACAGCTCAATGGTGGGACTAATTTTAAACGTATGGCATTGCATACGTTGCAGAAGAGCCCGGCTGAGCATGCACACAAGCAGAATCCAGCTCACAAAGCATTCAAACACATGAGGTTTTTAACTGAGGAGCAACTACAGAGCCCTGCTAGCTCTGACAAAGATCTTCCACCCTTACCTCGTGTGTTAATTTTGGTATGAACATCAAGCTGGGGGTCACATGAAACCATGCAAGGCCACCACGGGTACGTTCCCACCTTGGACCAAACCAGATCGCCAACCTGAAACTTGATGTCATGGGCGACTTGTGTTGGAAGAGAAGGCAAGAACTGCTGCACCTATAAAGAACAGCCACAGGGATTTGCTATTTTTCCCTTAGTTATCACCAATTTTTGACAGTCTAACTGAGACATGAGAGCTATTTGGAAATTTGACATATACTTTTCTTACAAACACGGCAAAAGCACTTAAATACAGTCAGAATTAATGTAAAATAATCACGGATTAAGCAAAACAACAACAAAAACATTTCCAGTCATAGGTTGAGTAAAAACGTTGCTTTGGGGACGATAAAGCAATAAATACAGCACAACAAAAGACATTTTGAAGCACCAAGCGTTTAAAAGAACGACAACTAGTTTATCTGACAACTTAAAGAGTCTGTATCGTAGTTAATATAAAACCAGCAAGACATGAGAAGTGCAGAAAAGAGTTAATTTGTATAAATACTAACCGGTGTTTCCTCTGACAAGGTATCTTCCCTTGGCCTTTCTGCTAGCATGCTAAGCCTCTCATTTGGTCTCTAGGAAATGGGTAACAATGAAGAGAAAAAAAGGGAAAATAAACACAAAGAGGGTAAGGGGACAATAAAAGCCAAACCAGTATCAACGAAACCAGGCAGAAAAAGAAATACTGAGCATAGAAAACAGTCATGAACRTCGCCAGCGTGGGTCTGATGACTCCTTACAAGCAATTCAAGACACAACAGGATCACAATAAAAAATCAAACCATCTTTTTCTTCTGCAGTATTTACACGAGCATTGAAACTACATGGGCCAAGGTTCTGCTGTAACGGGTGATGGAAGGACATGCGCTYGGGCACAGTAAAGCCAATAAACCCAAAGAGCTTCCCAGCTAAGTGAAGCACAACTTGGAAGAAAGAGAAGGGCAGCTGAAGGATATCCATAGTAATTCGAGGAATCTCACTGCATAYGGGTTATTTTCCAAGAAAACAGCAGCACTACAAAAATCACTGGTTGGTTTAAAGGCACAATATGAAAATTGTTAATATCTCTCCCGAATCGCAGGTGCTTGACAAAGGGTTGGAGCTTCAAGGTGGAAAAAACAAACCTCCAAAGGTCTTTACGAGCCAGCACGTTGCAAAAGAGGCAAGAGAAACAGGTTTGGCAGCAGAAAGATCAACACGGAACAGGAGCCAAAAGCATCAGAGAGGGGATGATAGGGAGAGTGCTGACACAGCAGGTGAGCAGGCGCGAGCCGCGCGGGGAAGTATCGGCGGAAGCAGAGAGCACACGTTGCTTTTATTACGGCGAAAGTCGTTAGCGAAAGGACTTGGAGAGGGGCTAAAGAGGTGAGGAATAATCACGGAGGAACTAATAGTGTGAATTATACCTAGTTCATTTCAAATGGAGCCTCTGTGTTAATCATTGCTGCGCACTTCAGCTCGGAGCATCTGAGAGACACTCATTTAAAAACCCTCTCTGGCAATTAAAGTCAGTTTTGCCACAGGTCAGGGTTTCATTTAGAGCTGCTTAGAGGCAATGAGCAAGTGCAAGCAGCTATCTGCTGAGTAGAAATCCTTCCTCCTTGGTGAGGCAGGAAACATAGTGATGATTCCTTCCTTTCTGTGGCTGCAGGTCAGTGGAAATTTGGTGTCTGCCACAACTAAGCGCGTTACACAGGAAGCCTAAACAAAAGACTGAAACTTCCCACTCTTCCCAGAATACGACTAACTAGTAAAATAACCCATTTCTAGCCCGAACTGTTCCCACAGCTGGTGAGGTTCTGCACGTCACAGGATCCGAGTGAAGCAGAAACTACCGAATGCCCGACTTCCGAACCTCCGCGTTGAATAAAGCACGGACCGACGGAAGCTGCGATGGAAATGGCATTTCTACTGTGCAAAATCACAAATCTCATCACATTACTATGAAAAGATGATCAAATTGCACCCTGCAGGAGCGAACTAAATGGTGAGTGAATCAAACTGCCCCTGGACTGTGATAATTTGTGTTAAAAACCACTGGCACAAGGCACTGTTCAACCTGAGGAGCTGCACTCTGATATGAAGCTTTGCCTGAAACAACTGGGAAAGACCATGATTTCCGTGCAGAAAACGCTCTTCGAAAGGGAAACAGAGGCCATCTCCAGACTACATTAATGATTTGGGTGAATTCCAGGTGACAACGGAACAAGGGAGCCCAGGACTGCCTGGGATTTTTGCAGGGAAGTTTCCGTTCACACTGGGAATGGATGCGGGAAAAGATGCGAGCATCCTYGCCACAACCAAGGATAACCTGTCTTTTTGCCTCGGAGAGGGTTACTTCATTTACGAAAATGGCAGGGAATTGCACTCAAGGAAACCAGGCTGATCAAAGAGAGCAGAGGTTCAAAGGCCTAATTGATGCCCCACTCATTTGCCCTGGGCACCACTTAGATGCCCCCGCTGGCAGACAGACTTAGGGGAAAACAGTGCAAACCACGGTGCTAAGAGCAGGGCCAATCTGCAGATCCTGCATTAAAAAAAGAGAATATGCAACCAAATAGAAACAACCAGCCAAAGAAAGGTGGGAATTTCTAAGCCATAGAGGGTAGATTATGCTCCATAGAGGGCAGGAAATACAGGAAAATACAGGAATCAGTATCACAAACCTGGCGGGGATAAGCAAGAGAAAACGGAGTCACCGAGTGACTCATTAACCTACAAAAGAACAGACTGGCAGTCCTGCCAACCAATAATTTCTCTCTCCACTTCCTGGAGGTGAAGTTAAAATGCTGCACGTAAGTGCAGCCCTGTATAGGCGCATCCATACTGCAAAACTTGACAGAAATGGTAACGGAAACGGCGCTGAACCCGTGCAGAGGCTGCGGTTGTTACCCRAATTTCTCATTTGTTTGCTAGTTTGGAACGCTGATTTCTGCTGGGTTGTACATTTGCACAAGAGAGAGCTCTCACTTTTTGTGCGTTGTTCAAATGCTCACATATCTAGGAAAAAATTACGTGTCAGCAGATAGGATCAGCACTCAGACACGGCGTAGAAACAGGAGAAGTATCCGAGATTTGCCATGGTGGATTGGGGTTTATTTTGGAGGGAGGCAAAAGCTGCTGCCTCTGGGAAACCAGGCTGCTTGCACTGCATTTAAAATGCGCTGCTGAACCAAGGAGCCCCATTTCCCCCTCAATCACCCAGCATTGCTTCAAAAGTTAATTYCAGAACATTCTGAATGGGTATTTCTTTTGCCAAACCTCTAACACCGTGCAAAGCAAACCCAACTCTGGGCATCAGAATGTTAAATAATACTGGAAAAACATAAATAATCTCTTCTAGCATTTATTTTTGCTACGCGGTCTTTCCACAACGGTGTTGTCCTAGAAATCAAGCTGCTAGCCATCTAATACGGAGTACCTGACAAGTCCACGGAGCCTCCCAACGTTTTAAGCACGCATATAACTAAAAGCAAGGAAAACCACYGCCGGCGCCGGCCTCTCCATCAATAACATCAGGTATAGAGACGGCTGAAACAATTATTCCACTTACATTTTGTTCCTCTGGTTCTAATTTGGGCATTTTGTGCGACTTGCGCTCTTCCGATCGGGAAGAGTCATGCTTGCTACTTTTTTTCCTTTTCTCTTTTCTCCCTTCATGTTTCGCCTTAGCATACTCACTCGCTTGGACTTCATTTAAAAGGTCCCCACACAGAGAGGACTCGAACAATTCCCTGCCGTTCTGGATAGTTTTGGTTATTTTTAATTTGATCTCTGGTGAGCCAGTCTTCTTTGGAATCACCGTCTGGGACGCTGCAGGTGGCGGCGGCGGCGGGGAAGGTTTCTCCGGAACGTCGTGCGGCCGCGCGGCAGAGTTCTCCATTTGGTAATACTCCGGGGGACTAAAGTTCCTAACGGTCCCGAAGCCGTTGGCGGAGCCRTTGGGATACTGGGCGTACGCCTGGAATTTGGCCTGAGGTTCGTACATGCCGAGGGCGGGCGCGTAGCCGTTGGCGAGGGGCGGCAGCTCGTCCGGCGTGGGCGGCGGGTACGGGAAGCCCTGCTGCAGGGCGCTGCCGTACGGCGTCTGGCCGCCGTCCTCGGCGCCGTCGCTGCCGGCGTCGAAGGCATCCTCTTGGCGGATGTTGGCGGAGTCGATGAGCTGAGGTGGCTGCTGAATCGTGTTCCCCATGATCCCTTGCATGAAAGAGAACGAGAAATCCATTGTTCTGCTCCAGCATCCTCAGCTTTCCCTTCTTCTCATGGGGCCTAGGTGGGAAAAGCAGGGAGGGGGAAACGGGAAAGAAGTTGTGAGCGAAAACTAAGCGACTGAGTGGCCRGCGAACTGAAAGAGCTACCGGGTCCAGCAAGCAAACCCCTCCTCCCCGCTTCAGCAGCCACCCTTCCATCCTGCACTTCGGAATGGTATTCCTGCATCATTAGGAAAGGCTGTTTTTGCCAAATTTATACATTTTTGCCATTTTCCTTTCACGTCTGCTTGCTTCCCTTCCAAGGCATTTCAAGCAGTGACATGAGCACCTGCAAGCACTTAAAAATCACAAGCCCAACTGTTAAGAGTGTCAGGAAAACRGTGCTAAGACTCCAAACACTCTCCGTGCTCCTCCTGGTTGGATTTTCRGGTGTGTTATTGGAGCACAAAGCAGTGACACGACAGACTTTGATCCCCGCTCGAACAAACTGAGGGTACCACGTTCGGTCGACGCCATCGAGCCCTGAAAACATGGGAGGAACCCAAGGAAGCCCCTCAAAGGGACAATGAAACTGTCCCCTGCCTTCTCCTCGCCCCATGTGGCCAAATTTGAGAGGGACGAGCAGCCCGTGGCCACACAGGGACCATGCCATGGGCTTGGCTCATAAAACTCTCAGGACTTGAGAGTTTTATGGTTCTGAAGGGGTGAAAAACAGCCCCAACTATCAGAATATCTCCAGAAACAGAGATTATCCACAGAATAACACTACTGCTGAGAAAGYGCTGTTACACATCTTCAATTTTCCACTTCACACTAAAACTCTAACATCAGATTAAACGAGGCCAGACCCAGATTTCCAGAATTTAACCATTCACTCAAAGGAGGATCTTGCCCGCCTTTCCCCCAAATCCCCTCCAGAAAACATCCCCCACCACATTCACCTAGATCTCAATGTTCAGTAAGAAAAAAAACATGAACAATGATCTGAACTTCAGGTAAGAAACACAAGTTTGCTTCTCAGCAAGGTCAGTTTAGCCCTTCCAAAGTAAATATAGTGCGGTATTATTTATTCTGTCCCTGTGCAGGCAAAAGGGAGGGTTATTGTGCCCTTTTGGTTTGGAAATGCCACTAACACGTCCCACAGACCCTTCTCATAAGCAGAATCTGCATAGAGCCCTGCCCACATTAAATTCTCGCCCTCCCCATGCAACGYGAGTCAAGATGCAACCTAATGGCTTTCCAAACACTAACAACCCTTTCCTCCTCAGAGGCTGCACAAAGAAATTGAAGTTACAGGAGCAACGGGAACAACTTAATCGGAATTTTATTGTGTATTTTGTCGACTCCGTACTGGGGTTATATGGACAGTAGCATTCAGCTGCTCGGTGCTGTCAACTCCGCGTGCATTTGTCACTGTAATTAAGTGGCTTAGGGAAACTATTTCACAGCCCGGCAAAATTCGCTTAATTGCAGTGACTTGAAATCCCACGGGAGCGAGAGCCTCCGTGCCCTCCAGGAGCTCTGCAAACCGCGAGCCCATCACCAAAACGGCCCCGTCGCTGCTGCGCAAGAAGCCGGGTGCAACGCAACAAAACCACCACCACCCATTCCAGGAAGAGGAACTCTGCACTGTTTACAAATCGCGGGTCTACGGAGGCCAAGCTGCAGAGAAAATGACAGTTTTCAGACTAGTAAGAAATTCCACGCTAGTTTGAGGGGATTTCTTAAGAAAACGAGGTTCTAGCTAAAGCAACTTTTTCTGAATACCTCAGAAATACCTTTAAACCCTTGGGTTTAAAGAATACCTTTAAACCCTTGGGTTTAAACCATGCGTAGAAAATAAGCAGCCACTGGAGTTTCAGTCCTCAGAGCACATGCACTGCTAGACAGAAAGAAGTATTAGAATTACTCTTAACTTCCTGATTTTTAAGAGAAAGTCACTTTTTTTTCCTTTCTACCCAAATGCTCTGAAATTCAAGTTATCCATCACTGGCCATCCATCAAGTTTGGGTAGAAATAAATGCTTGACGAGTTGTGCACCCCAGCGTGATCCACCCCAGAACCCAAAGTTCGATTCAGAGCCACCAGAATTCTAAAAACTACCCAAACAACCCGCAGAAACCTGAACTTTGCAAAACTAAAGGCTATACAACATTTTGGGCTTCACCAAAACTACAATTTTGCTGTTCTCATGTGGTACTTGAACAACTTTGCTTYGTGTTTTCCTACTTGAAAGTCTCAAGACTAGAAAGTTGGTCAAGTTTTGTTTTCTGCTGGGTGGTGCAATCCTGACGCCTTAAGACAAGGGTAATATTTAGGTGCTCTCTTTTCCCTCTTGGGGAAGGAGAGAAAGGAGGTTAATTCATTCCAAAGATGCATCTTTTCCCAGTGCAGGTTCTTTCCTTTTAGAGATTGATTTGGATTTCTATTCATTTCACCAAACAGGGCAGTTCTTTCAATAAAAAAGTGTATCCTGATGTAAGAGGGGGAAAAAATGAAGACTTGAGGCTTCTACCAGCACAACTAATCCTCATCCAGACCCCACCACTGGGTCTACAGACACCACCGTAGGGCCCAGAGCTGTCATGAACCCTCTGGTCTTCAAACCAGCAACAGTCACTTATGTTTAGGAGACTGTTTTTAATCTGTACGTACCCAACACCTGCACAACTGTCTTCTAGCTAAGGAAGGGGCTCGGACAACTTGAGCACTCCTGGCGTCGCACACTGAGAACCTGGGGCTAAATTATTGCACCAGGGAGAAAAAATGCCCCTGTCTTCCCATCCCGACGGGCACGAAAGTCCACTCGGACTAACACGCACATGTCGGATGCGAGGAATTCTGCAGAACATCCGCCCCGAGAGCGGAAGCCCTGCGGCTGACTCGCTGGCAACGCTGAAAAAGCAGCAAATAGTCAAAACCTGAGGGGCTCGGGGAGCAGCACCGCTGCCCCCCAAGCTGTCTCTCCTATYAACTCTCCCGATATCCGAAGCTCTCGGTGACTTTCACAACATCTAACCAAGCGTGGAGCAGCCCAGCTCCTGCTCACGCAGACCCGAGCCACACGCACAACCAGAGCCACCCTGCGCACGCGTCTCCCTTGGGTTTTCCGCGCTCTTCATTCCAAAAGTGTCTCCAAGCTGCGCCCGCACTGGCCATCCCAAGGGACTCATCCCTGCAGGAATCATTCCCAATATTTGCTTGCTGCCGTGCGCATTTTACACCCAGCTGCATGGCTGAAACCGTCCACGTCACCGGGGTTTCACCCAAAATTACTCAGACCTGGCGCTCTCCCTTTACCTCCGCGTTACAGCACAGCAGGAAAACRCACAAAAAACACTGCAGCGGGGCAAAAAGTTTCCATATGATTCACGGGCAACTGCATTAACTTGCTATCCACAACACCAAATTAATTCCCATGCCGTTCATTTTTAATAGTGCCTTTTACCAGCTTAATATTTGTCCTGCAGTAAATTTAGAAAGTAAGCCACAGCAAAAAATGGTGGTAATAATAATAATAATAATAATAATAATAATAAATCCTATTGTAAATTCAATTGCTAACTAAAGGAAAAGATATCCTGGGTAACTAAAATAACACATTTCCAATCCTGTGCATAGACTTACTGGCGTAACAACTGCGAGCTGGGGATTTCTACAGAATTCAGCTGAATTTAGCACAGCGTCACTTCTAGCAGACCTAGTGGATCAGGGGCCTCCTGTCAAGCTTCTTCTCASGGTTTTGAAGTATCTAGTAAGGCCGAACACTTCCCCGTGTGTCTTTTTAAACTTTTCGCTTGTTCCTTTTTTAAAGCCAGGAAAAACAAGTCATCTCTGTCCCATGTTTTTGATAAGGCGACTTTTAAACAAGTTTCCCACGGGGAATGGAAACTCGGACACCCAAAGCAATAAATGAATGATCCCCAGATACGCTTAGAGGGTGCATCTGGTGGTCGAGACGCGGGATGCGCGTGGGAAGCGCCAAGGGGGAATGGTTCAGCTCCCGGCACGAGGCTCAGCTCCCGGCACGGCCGAGGCTGCCGGGAGGCCCGGGACGACGGTGGGACCATGGGGCTGCGAAGCTSGGCGCAAAGCAGAGGGAAACGGAGCCCTGTGCACGGCGCCCGGCCCCTCCTGCGCCCCCAGCCCGCTCGCACGAGCAAAAATTCAAATTTTTTAAATTTTTGTGCCCTTTCAGGCCGTTTTCAAGCAAGGCCCGAGCGCCACCGTGCGCGGGCCGTTCTCCCGGCTGCGCTTTGGGTTGGTTTGCGCGGTTTGGGT